TCATGGATGCTGTTAATAAACTGGATCGTGAATTAGAAGATAAATTGCGATCACAAGAATTAATTGGTCACATTCGACATGATTACAATATTGAACGTATTGAGTATGTTCGTCCTCGTCCTGTACATTTTAGTTGGCAACGAGGCATAAAAATTGGACAAGGTCGTTTTGGTAAGGTGTACACTGCTGTCAATAATGAAACTGGAGAACTGATGGCTATGAAAGAAATACAATTGCAACCATTTGATCATAATGCCATCAGAAATGTAGCTGTTGAGTTGAGGATATTTGAAGGGATTACTCATGAACATCTCGTTAGATATTATGGCGTTGAAATTCATAGGGTAATGATTTAAAAGATAATCAGTACTAATCTAAAGAATTATTTTCATTTAAATTATATTTTTAGGAAGAGATGCTCATATTTATGGAACTGTGTGCTGAAGGGACATTGGAAAATTTAGTTGCTGCTACGGAAAACGGACTACCAGAAGCTCTTCTACGTAGGTTTACCAAACAGTTGGTTAGTGGGGTAGACGTTTTACATCAACATGCTATCGTTCATAGAGATATTAAAAGTAAGATATTTCCACATACTTTAAACGTGTATTCAATGTTCATCTAATAATAAAATATTGTGTTTAAATTAGGCGCAAATATTTTTTTGACTGACGAAGGAAACTGTTTAAAACTGGGCGATTTTGGTTCGGCGGTAAAAATGAAAGCGCACACAACAGTTCCGGGAGAACTTAAAGGGTTTGTCGGAACACAAGGTAACTATTATATAGCAGCTATATTATTACCAAATTTGAAATTAATACGAAATCAAATTTTTTAGCGTACATGGCACCAGAGGTTTTCATGAAATCCAATACGGAAGGACACGGTAGAGCCGCAGACATTTGGTCAATAGGATGTGTGATAATTGAAATGGCTTCAGGCAAAGTAAGCATTTACAGCATCATAACGTTTGTGTATAATTATTATAATGAGTGATTCGTTTGGGCGTATTTTTTCAAAACTTCAATTTTTTTGAGTACCTGATCATTATCATCATAAAAAATTGTTATTTACATTAATTTTTAAATATTATGTTATTTAAATATCGACCGTATCTGCGGTTGACATGGACCATTCTAAAATTCTAATTTTCAACGACCCGTCGTCCAAGTATGTCGATTGGTATTTGGCCAATGACGTGTGTATCGTATGTTGTTGGCTTCCAATTCATATTTATCGGCTTAGCTATGTAGACTTTGGACTCGCGTAGTCCCAAAGAAAACAGTTAAAAGGTGTGATATCACATGGACCTAGGCAATGCATTAATGGTAAAATCGTGAAATGAATTGTTCTCGCAATAAATCCATAATTACACGTGCTGCATGTCAAGTAATGTAATATTTTTAAAACCAAATATTATCGAGATCACTTGCTTAGATTTCAGGCAGCAAATAGTCCGTTACTATGGCGCGATAACGACGCCATTCACTGTCTCACAGGTTACGTTCTGCTTGGCTTCATTTTTAAAGAAATATGGACAGATGTGACATAAACCACATCAAATTATTATTATGTCCGGATGTAATGGCATCTTTTGAATCTCTTCGGGTTTTTCGTCATCACAAATACGGCAATTTTGGTCGAAAACAGTGGATTGATTCTCTTCTACCATTTCAAGAGCCCAAAACCGAAACAATGACGATTCGATAGGTCTGCTAGCTTTAATTCTTGCACCAGTTGAATTTTGCATGCCTTTGAAACCGAGGTCCTTACGTAAAATACGCTAAGTTATCGAGAACGGCGCCGAATTGATTTACCCTGGTCATCGCGTGCACTTCTATTTACCCACGCTATATTTTCTTCATTTTTTGTACTGGATGTGGTCGCTATATATTATCTAATAATAAAAATTTAGTTATAAATTTTACAATTGTTTAGCAAATTGTGGATTCGGTAGGCTGATTATGCGGACCGTAAGTTTCTCTAAGCTTACAAAAAACGTCTTCGTAGAACGCTATTTTCGTAGTTCAGGTGAATTATTTGTAAACGTTGTGCCGGGCTAAGTCTTTCCTCGATGAAATGTCAATTAACAGACCAACACTAAACGAAAATACCTCGACAGTTTATACGACTCGCACGTTATCCGTCATAAAATAACATTTAAAAATAGTGCACTCTAAACGAATCACACCCCATATAACTAATTTACAACTGTTTCTACAGAGACCGTGGCACGAGTATGATTCCAATTATCAAATCATGTTTAAAGTGGGCATGGGAGTCACGCCAACTGTACCGGATACACTGTGCGATGAGGGCCAACAGTTTGTCGACAGTTGTCTACGACACGATCCGTATTCAAGAGCTACTGTCTCGGAACTACAAGATCATAATTTCATCAAGGTATTGATTTCCATTAGTTTTGAAAAATTTAGTAAATTTGTACAGATATTAATTATTTGTTTGAAATTTACCCGTGTCACTTAGGTCATGCCCGAAGAGTGTGTTTCCTGTCGAATATCTTCAACTGCAATGCTGGAGGAATACATTAAATTGGGTTTTAAACGATAGCATCCAGTACTTTTTTATATTATTTAAATCCTATACTGTATACTCGAAACATAATATTTGTGCAACATTTTAATTATTTACTCATATTCACTCTGAGATGTGTTTTATTTTCTAACATAAATTTTTTTGCTAACTTCACTAAAACTAGACTATCAAATATGTTGATTTCACAAAAATGTGGTAATCATTTTTGTAAGATCAACATATGCTTATGGTAGATAAAACTGTAAATATTATTTTTTAATCTATTTTTAAAAGTACAACGTCTATGTAATAATGAAAATTATATGTGTTACCTAGTAATTCAATTTTATCATTTTAGAAATTTAAAAAATATGCAATCAAGTCATTGGGCGACATAATTATTGGACTAAAAATTATAATTAATTTTTTTGGTGGTTTTAATGAAAAAAATAATAAATAATCAAGTGTTGCAGTCTAATTATTGAAAAACAAATTACATTTATACTACGATGTTTGTAAGTAATTTGTAAATGTTTTCATCGTTATGTATTATGTAGATAGTTTTATACCTTAAATGCAAATTATATTTTTTTTAAAGTGCCTTACATTCTATGAATTAGTTTTAATTATCGATCACATCACAACTAGTGCAATATCTTATTATGCGACCATTTGTTAGTATTGTCAATATTGTTTTACTGAATATGAAATACCTCATACCTATTTTTTTCAATAATATTTATAGCAACCATTTATCATTTTTGTTTTAAGTTATGTATCAAGTACTTGTTAAATTATTTAAAATTTATTTTTATACATGCCGTCCTTAAAAAAATATATAATTATGTTAAATAAAAAATAGTTAATATCTTATCTGTATTAATGTTATTTTATTATATGTTATTATTGTTATTTATAAATAAATATTATATTATATTATAATACTATTAAAAAGTTTGGTTGTTTTTACACATTATACCATCTCTCAGAGACAGAAAATAACCCACTCTAGAGTATACTGATGAATAATAATCATCATTCAATGAATTAAAAGCAGCAAACTGATCAGCAATAACTCAATTTAAACTAGTGGCAGTTGTAGCTATATATTTATTTGAACAAAGTAATTTATACTATTTCCAAAAAAATGTAAATAATCCATTTTATTTTAAAAAAACATAATCATTAATTGGTTATAAAATTTATTATATATCAATAAAATTACTCAAGTATTCAAAGAGCAGATTGTATTAGAATAAGTTTACGCATAACTAATTTTATACTCAATGGTATAAGTAAATGTTTTAGAAAAGAATTTTTAAAGATGGAATAAAAATAATAAATTTTAGGTTCTAGATGTTAGCACAGGTTGGTTATTAGATCATTGTAAGATAAATAATAAAAATTATGGAGTTGTGGTTGTGTTGTATTTGAAATAATAATCGAGTTAACTCTTTTTTTTTTTCCATAAATTTTAAGCTGAAATAGTCTGCCTCTGATTTTTCTAATTGCCACTTGTATCATATAAATTAATTAAAAACGTATAAAAATATTATTTAATACATTATTCATAAAGAACATATAGCAGGTTTTTTATACCAATCATTAATTTAAAATTTATTTATGTCATTTTTTTGGCATCTAGTCAAAAAATTTTATATTTTAATTTTGTATAGTAAAACTGAATATTTTTTGGAGTATTTCAATACACAAAATCAAAACTCTAAGTTAAAAGTATTTCCTTTAAAACACTTAAATTATAAGCTACTCGTCCAAATCTCAATTGTCTATTAAGATCTTCCATTTTAGAATATAAAATAAAAATGTACATGCTAATTAAAAAATCAAATATAAAACTATAACTTTTTTTTCATAAACATTAATAGATTATTAAATTAACCATGTTTGATAATAGGAATTACCCATTTATAATGTATTGCTCAAGTATCAAATTGTATTTGAAATTAGTGGTTTCCTTCATATAGTTTAAAATGACAAATTACCTATTTACAAATTTTATTGTAGTGGCTTGGTATGGTGCGTTGGTTATTGCCAGTCGAGAAATGCAACTGGAAGTAACATCCACAGTTACTAGTTTCCGGATGGGTGACCACCCGGGCTGTAGTGGTTAAAAACCTTGCCACACATACACGTGTTTATCAACTGTAACACCATAACCATCGTAAAAACAACCTACTTGTACCAACCTTACCTCTACCCATAGTTCATAACCCATACAACAGCTAATGGCCCTAGTCACTGGGCTTAAGTTCAATAATAATAAAAAAAAAATTATTGTTTAATAAACTCTCTAGACAATTACATATCAACAGAATTAGATATTTGAGAATCTTAAGATCATAATTATAGATGAAATAGGTTTACTTAAACATTAACAAATAAATGTATCAATTTTTGCATGTTATAGTTTAAAAAGGGAAAGGTTTATAAATAAAATTAAATCATTGTTTTTTCAATATTTTTTATTAATAAATGATGATAACTATCGTTTTCCACCAACGCGAGGAGCAGCCTTTTGTTGTACAGATTTGGTTTGCACTTTCTTGGGTTGTTTCTACATAAATAAAATGAAAAAAAAAAAAATGAATAAAAATAAAAATTATTATTTATAATAAATGTGTTACCTTCGTTTTTGTTGGAGGTGGTGGAGGAGGCTTCTTAGCTGCCCTAGCAGCCTTCTTTTGGTCCTTAGCCGCCCTTAAAAGTTAAATGTAAAATAAATATCTAGATCTGTTATTAGACTTTAATTTTTAGTATAACTTATACACTATATTAGTAATTTAGATATCTATAAGTAATCATACTTTCTGCATAATTTAATATGTTTAAATGATACATTACATTAAATAATTAATTACAACTAACAATTAATTGTTAAATATTCATAATCTTAAATATTAGGTGTTCATCTGGACAGATATTTTTATTGTATTACATGAGTAGAAGATACTTTTATAAAATATGCCTTTGTCAATGTGTAAATGTTTAAAGTGATTATTACTACCAATTTAAAATTTTTAATCTTAAACTAAACTTATAATAGTTTTTACATAAAAGAAGCTCATAAAGTTAATTAAAATGTTATCATTATACTAAAATTAACATTAAGAATTAAGAAGTTTTATATCCAACAAAGTTAAAGCAATTTAAAAATCTGTATAATTAATAGGTTTGAATTTATGATATCAGAGTAAATTAACTTAAAAATAGAAGTTACTACTCCTGTATTAATTAGTTTAAAAATGTAATTCCCTATATCAAACAGATGAGACGGAGATGATAAAATGACTTTAAATTTGTATATAAATCTTTATAACAATTTTATAAAGAATAACTAAATGTAATTTACCTAATTGTTTATCTTGACAGGTACTTTCAATATATTATTTAAAATTGATACAAGAGTGTTAAAAAGGTATTATTTAATATACTTTTATTCTAACTTATGTAAATCAAAACACGAAGATTAAGGGAAAAAGAAAATTAAGTCTATAGGTAAATACAATAATTATTTATATTTAAAATTATTATAATATATAATAATTTAAACTATAGCATTTATGAATGGCATGATGAAAATTTTAAACAGTATTGTAAAAAAAAAAAATATCTGATAGGAGGTATCACTAATCAGCAAATTTGCCATACTAAAATATGAGACAAATTTTAAGTATTTATATTCCAATAACTATTATCGATTGCCAAGGCACTATCCTATCTAAATTAGGTATTTCACTTAAATGTATAATGATTAGTCATGGACATATATAATAAATTGACTAAATTACAATAGTAATTTTAATTATGGATATGATACACTTAATAAAATTAATTATGTTTATGTCTATCTCGACAGGTACTTTCATTATATCATTTTAGTTGATATATGAGTGTTTAAAAGATATATTATTTAATATACCCTCGCCAGTACGTTCAAATTTATATAAAATCTAAACACGATAAACAAGGGAAAAAAAAGAAACAAATCTATATATTATATTTTAGTATTTGTAATTAATTGACTATGATACTAAAACTCAAACAAAAATTTGATTAAAATCAAGAATTTTATGATAAACTTAATTAAACTGAGTATGTCTATCTCGACAGGTACTTTCATTATATCATTTTAGTTGATATATGAGTGTTTAAAAGATATATTATTTAATATACCCTCGCCAGTACGTTCAAATTTATGTAAAATCTAAACACGATAAACAAGGGAAAAAGAAAATCATAGCATTTATAATAAATTGACTATCATAATAAAACTTTAATTCAAATAGAAAATTAATTAAGATCAAGAATTGTATGATGAACTTAATTAAACTGAGTATGTTTATCTCGACAGGTACTTTCATTAAATCATTTTTATTGATATATGAGTGTTTAAAAGATAAATTATTTAATATACCCTTGCCAGTACGTTCAAATTTATGTAAAATCTAAACACGATAAACAAGGGCTTAAAATAAAATTAACTTTAAAAGCCAATTTGAAAATTTCAATGTTAAAAATATTAAGGTCTAATCTTCCAATTTAAAATTATAATATAATTTTAGCGATATTTATATTTGATAAATAATGAATTATAAATTTAAATAATTAGTAAGAATTAATTTTTTTTTTTAATCACATTTTTCAAAAAATTAATATTGTTTATAGTCTATTAAGATTTAGGATTCTTATAAAAGAATACATACACTCTTCATAGATAATTTCTCATAAAGTTAAAATTCAAGACAGAGAACACTTAAAAATATAATAATAATGATCGTAACTATTTAAACATATTAAAATGTTAACCCCTCATAGATGGTTTCTCATCATATTCAAATTCAAGATAGCAAATACTCGAATTAAAAAAAATAATCATAAGGATCTAAATATTTAAACTTACTAAAATATTAACCCTTCATAGATATGCTTTCTCATCATATTAGAATTCAAGATAGCAAATACTCGAATTAAAAAAAATAATCATAAGGAGCTAAATATTTAAACACACTTAAACAACACATACTAGAATATTAATCCTTCATAAATGGTTTTTTCATCATGTTTAAATTCAAGATAGCAAATACTCGAATTAAAAAAATAATCACAAGGATCTAAATATTTAAACACATTTAAACAACATATACTAAAATATTAACCCTTCATAGATGGTTTTTCATCATGTTCAAATTCAAGATAGCAAATACTCGAATTAAAAAAATAATCATAAGGATAGTAGTTTTTTTTTTTTTTTTTTATGAAATTAAACAAAAATAAACCGTTTTCTCATTGGAATTAACATTTTGAGTTATCTTATGAAAAACCAACTTTATTAAATTGAATATTTTTCACTTAGTAATACTAATTTTGATAATGGTATTATAACAAATATTACCAATATTTATATTATATTTAAACATTTCATGCTATTAAATTGAAATTTTAACACAATCATGAATACTAGATTAAGAGATTATATTATATAATACATATTTATATGTTTTTCTCAGTATTCAATTTGTTATCAGAATAATCAATAGTAGCAAATACTTTAATATACATCACAGAAAGTTATATTTAACTAATAGCACAAATTCTTCATAAAATATATCTATTTATTCTAATGTATCCTATTTATACAAGTTTAATCTCTCATAAATGGTTTCTCATCATGTTTTATATTCAAGATAGCAAATACTCGAATTAAAAAATAATAATCACAGAGATATAACACAGTGAAAAAAATAATATTAATTTTAAAATTGTAGCATATATTTAAAAAAACATTTAACAGAAATATTCTTATTAAACGCTAGACTATAATATGTGTAAATTTTTCCACATATAATTGAATGTAAATATATTAGAGTTAAGAAAAAATAATCGTGGGAGATAAGTTAAGCTTAAAAAATGTAATATTATTTATTTTAATTTAATAATTTCCTCAGTCATGATTTCTAATCATTATTATTCAATAGTAGCAAATACTTATTAAAGCTAATCACTGGATAAATATTCAAATTAAACTTAACAATAAATTATTAATTTAAAATAATTTCCTCAGTAATAATTTCTAATCATTACCACTGTTCAATAGTAGCAAATACTTATTAAGATAATCATTGGACATAAATAGATAGATATGTAAATATTAATAGCTATTAATTCCTTTAAATGTTATTATACATCTCGACAGGTACTTTCATAATATCATTTTAAATCGATATATGAGTGTTTAAAAGATGTTATTTAATATACCCTTGTCAGTACGTTTAGATTTAATATAAGATCAAAACACGATAAACAAGGGATATTTTTATGATATTAATTCAATTTTAACTTAATAAGATTTTTAAAAATATTATCTCACTTGATGGCAATATCTCGCTGGGCTTTCCTCATCTCAGGTTTCATATTCCTCTTAGCCAAAATATCGGTGAGGGATGCACCGACAATAGCACGTTGGAATTTTTGTGTTCTCCTGGTCTTCTTTTTGGTCGTTTCTTCTTCTTGACCCTTACGGTGCTTGCGTCTAAACAATAACAAAACAATAATATACATATATACATACAATAAAAGGATAACGTTCAAATATTGTTTTACCTGTATAATATCGTCCATGTCACTTTACGGGGGTTCCTCTTCATTAAGTGAGCACGCTCGCATTTCGAATTGAGGAAAGTGAATGTCTACATTGATAATAAAAGAAAAGATAATTTATATAAAACACACGACAATCTTTGAAAGAGTGAAACGTTGGCATGCGTAACCGAAACGGTAAGCACAGAAATTTGCAAAACAAAAACATACCTTTCCGTCGGCTTTAATCATGGTTTTGCCATGTCCTGGGTAGATTTTGTACCCACTGTAGGCGCAAAGTCCGATCCTTTAAGTAAAAAATAAAAAAATAATATATTAACTATCAGAGTTGTATAGTTTGGCGGTATATTCGAAAGCGATATTTCGACGTCCATGTTCGTCAGATGAGTTAAAAGTAAGATAATTATATAGCACCGAGTAACACCAAAAGCATTTGTCTAAGTAAAAAGTTTTCAAATCGTTATGCAAGCTAGATTAATGTGGATAAAACTTACTTCATTTTGACGAATTTATGAAAACTCCAACTATGGGTTATAAGAAAATGATTTTATCAACCCAACATACAAGTGTTGTAGCTTAGAAATCGGTACTGCAAACAGTGCAAACTGCAATATGGTCGGCTGAAGTTGGTTACGCAATGCAGTGTTGCCAACGCTAATAAATTTTGATATAGGACCAGACCTAAAATTATTTATTCGGTGTGAAACTGCATCTATTAGATGAAAATTTAAAATTAATATTTTTCAATATTCATAATTATTAATTTTGTTGTGAGTACAGTAGACATACTCCTGAACATTAAAGTGAAAATTTAAACATAGTAAGAAAAAAACACTCATAAATCATCATGTTTTGATTCTTATCTTTCAAATAACCAATATTTTTAATGTTTTTCTTAATCTGATAACATAAATAATAATTGATATTTGATATGCACCTATGTCTTTTACTCTTCTCAATGGCAATTGGCATTTGGCAAATAACGAGTAACACTAATGTGAATAATGTTGTAGGTAACGAGAAGTACCACGCCACTATGAAATTTAAACAATAAATATCTTAGACTTCAATTCTTAAAATGTATTATTTAGTTATGAAGATAAAGAATAATATAACGTCGTACACAGCATATTTATTATTATTTTAAATTATTTTATTAGGTGGAACATTATATACATAATTATTAATTCCTAAAAAATAAAAATGTTTTTTCATTTGGAAAATGATTGGTGTCAATCATCTGATTACATTTTCATGCCCTTAACCTCGTGTTTTTTAGTTTTGTAGGCGATAGCCGTGTTTCATACTATCATAATATCATGTATAATAAAAATAATACAAAATATAAAGATAAAGAAATTCCCAGTGTAGGGAAGTTAAAAAAAAAAATATACTCTTATAATTGATACTTGATATTTTAATTTTAAAAGTATGTTTTGCCAAAACACTTAAATAGGAGTTTTTAGTTTTGTTAAAAGTTATTATATTTATATAGATTTTAATGTTTGTGATATATTATATAATGTGTTTTTAAATATTCTTAGAACATTTTACATACCTGGTTTAGCTTCAGAAGTCAAATAATAGATACATCTATTTCTTATGGTACATCTTTCTAATCACAAAATTAAATAAGTAGTTAAGGTAATCAATTGGTGTAGAAATACTAGAAATCATTAAGTACTATCATAAAGATTAATTAAGTAATGTATCTTACCAACAATTCAAATATTGTATTATATTCTTTAATATTCAGTAGAATATAATGAATATTATAAAAAAAAAAAAATGTGTGCAAAATATTTTTATCTTTGAATTCTACGAATTTTAAAGATTATCCCTATTCAAATGCATAAAAAAAATATTATGTAAATCATAAAATCATGCCTTCTATATAATTTTAAGTTATACCATTTACAATTTTAAAATAGGTAGGCATAACATTTTTACGGTAATAAATTATTTTACTAAATCTAAATTACATAACTACATTTAAAATTTAATGGTTGTAGTTACGAAACAAATATTCAGATATTGAAGAATTATGGGAAATAGTGTTGATGTTTGGTAATAGTTGTAAGCTTATAACAATATTTTATTTGAAAATGGCTATTATATCAAAAAATTTATTTTTTAATTGTTTATAAATGATTTTAAAATTAATTAGATTAATGATATTGATAAATTACTACTGTTTATTATTTAAAAAATAGAATTTCCTCATAATAATTTTATTATTTTTATGTCATATTTATTTAATTTGTAATTCATGGATCAAATCTCCCATTGATGTGTTACTATAAAGAGGATTAAATTTGAATATTAATATTACAAATTATTAATATTTTGAAGTCTTTTGTTCAAATTCCAAGATACACTGAATAATAATAAATATAAAATAAAAATATTTATTGTAAAGTAAGTTTTAATTTGACCAATAAAAATAATGAAACAATAATGGAAATGAGTTAGGTATAATATTATAGAATTTACACAGGTCAACTAAGTGATGGATTACTGCAAGTATCACTTCCTGATTCATCATTTTCAGTATCACTGTTTTCTAAATCATTTTTGTTATCACCTTCATTTTCAGATGTTGTTTTCTGATCATCTTTAGCCCATTCGATTCTTGGTACTGCACACTTGGGACATAATTCCAAAGTGCTTGAGCACTGATGGCACATTGTATGGTATGCTTCTTTAACAGTCTTATTATGACATTTGTTGCAGTTCTTGGGTGCTTTAAGCATCTTATATTTTTTGTACTTGATTTTCCATTCCAATATGTCTTTACACCGAGGACAAACGCTATGAATTTGTATAGAATTCAAACGTTTGGTACGTATGTTAGTGTCATGGAGATTATTTTTAAACGCAAATCGGTTTTGATGTTTTTGTGGTCGAACGCGTGTTGCATTTCCTTTCTGGCTACTCATGGCATCAACTAAAATTAAATGGTAAAAAAAAAAAATTAAGTACAATAAAGAGAAAGTACGTTGCAAATAAAAACTAGATTACCTTAGATTCAAATTTTAATGGTACAATTAATCATAATTTTAGTTATTTCTGATTAATAACTCCTTATTTTTATACGAATCGGTCTACTCTTAAATAATAAATAGTAAATACTAAATACTGTAGAAAGACAAGAAAGCACGCCGCTGACATTAGATAAACTGATATAAAAATTATTGATAAGCGATTCATTCGAAATACGGTTAAAGATAAGATTTATCTATAATCGTGATTTAAAACAAAAAGTCAGATATAAAGCGCTCACGGTGTTGTTCTTTTTAACTATTATTAAGAAGATATAGGTCATATACTCATATAGGACATAGCCACATAGACTTAGGTACTGTCGTTCGTTAATGACGTTAATTAAATTAATTTGCTACATCTACATTTTGTAACATTGGAATAGCCTCAGGTCTTAAATCTTAATATATTGACAATTATTTAGTTGTCTCCTTATTTTTTCTTAATATTTATTTTGAAAATATTCAATCTGTAGAAGTATTTTACAATAAGTCAATAAGCAAATTAAGCATAATATGTGATTACGATGTAGGTATATATTTTGTACATAAACGATTTTATTTTAATAAATTACCTAATGGTTAACAGTAATACCATTAATTATAAATATTTATAATCAATGGTAATACTTATGACGTGAATGATTTTATTTTTTTGTGTTACAAATTTTTTTTTATTTTTTTACACGGTTAGTAGATCTTTATTAAGGGCCTGTTCAGACTTAGGTGGCCTTAGGGCATAACAAATTTTTAAATCGGGAGACTTTTTTTTTCAGACATGAAGAAACATTTATTTTTTATTGTTACAAACTCGCAATGATAGGACTATTTTTTAATTATGACCAATAATTAAAACCATTTGAAAAACAATAAAAATATATTTAAAACTAAAATAAAATCACATACATAATATGGTTAAATATTGTTAATAAAAATAAAGTGTTTATAAATCCGTTCTGTTCTCATATGGTTTCAATACTTTAAAAGACTCAATGACATCATCAAAGTTTATACTTCTTACCAATTCTTGTTCGATACTGATGGTTAATGAACCATCCAGACGATATAAAACAAATAATCAAAATCTATAAATAGATAGATACTGAGTACAGATCGCACGACTTTTTTTTTTCATCTGAGCATGATTTTGTTAGAGTCACAATCCATCGGGAGGGAAGGCAGTGGCCACACAGCCCCTCCCGTAAACACGCCTATGATTTTCATACCAGTTTGTTTTTAGCCTTCTGGGTGGGATTCCAGGGATGTTGACAGAGTCAAGAGCGAGGATCAAAGGGTTTCAATGGTTTGATAGTTGGGAGTGAAATAGCTTGTAAAACAACTTTGCTACTTCTAAGACTGTTTGAATGTTAGTCGGAATAGAGCATGTGGTTCGATATGCAGAAAGACGGATTTGTATCATACGTAATGTTATTGATTGCAAAGTTTGTATTTCATTTATATTTATTTTCTTAGCAACACCTCATAATAGTACTCTATACTACAGCATTTAGTAGGGTTTTGTATAAGAGGAGTAAAAGGTAGAAGCATAATATAGAGACTCACGTCTGGTGTTTATTATATCTGTTTTTGTATAATATGCTCTGCCCAGGTTAATCTTTTGTTTAATTTCAACTCATAAGTATTATACATTTGAGGTTGGAGGGATAATTTAATTGTTCAGAATTACTGAGAGATCAGAGAATTCAGAGAATTTGGCATAAGACTAAAAGTAATATGTGAAGACTTTCGTTGTTGATAATTATCTTTTTTGAAATTTTTACTGAATATTTATAAATTATATTAACATTTTCAATTTATGATCAAATTTTTAAAATATTTAGACTACTTTTGAGCTATTAATAAGCATGAGAGATATTTTCTATGATTGTTGACTAAAAACTATTTACTTATTAGACTATGTCTTTATACATTTTTTATTACTTAAATACTATTTTACTTCAAAAATCTTTAATTACAATTTTTTTTTTGTTAGAATATTGATTAAAATCATAAAAATTGCAAATGTAGACAATATATTATGTAGTTAGAAATTCATAACAGTTTTTGTTTTTATACTTTGATTTAAAAATTTACTATAAGACTCTTTATTAATTTTTCAACCAATACGTATAAATAAAAAATAATTCTACTAAAAAGATAAATAAATTTTTTATGAGTATTTGAAGTTCAAATTTTTATGACATTAGATGTTCATCCATAAATAAAATATTCTTCCAAAAATTGTTGATATTTTGTTGTATTTCTAAAATTCTAAAATAAATAACAGAAGATACATTTTTTCAAATGTTTACAAGTACTCGTACTATTATGTTTACTGTACAATATTTAAAAACTTTTTTAACTGTTTTTATTTTTTAAGTTATTCATTGAAAAATTTTCAATTTTTTTTTTTATAAATATCGATACAAAATTGTTGGCTCAAAAATCTTAAAAATTGAAAAGGTACAAGACTCCACCGAAGTGATCCTCATATTTACATTGGTAAGCATATATTCGTTTTATTTGTAATTTAAGTTAGAATTTTAACGAAATTCTTCAAAATGCAATTTGTTTTTTGTTGTATTACAAGTATCAGATACTTATTAGGATATAAATTACAGTAACCGTACAAATAATGAATTTTCAATAAATATTTTCATTAAATTTTGTTAGTATATTTGTTAGTATCAAAATAATTTTTTTTTTTTTGAGTTATTTATAGAGATTAAGGATGTCAACTTTTATACTCTTTTCCTTGACAAAGTTGACAAACATTTTATTTTTAGGCAATATTTTTCAAGATGTATACATTATAGTTTTTAAAAAGTTGTTATTATAGTACCTAACATAATAAATGAAACCATTATTTTATTTATTAAAAAATATTAGTTCATACTTACTAATGTAATTGCATGTTAATATTTTCAAAATCACACATTAATTTCTAGAAATGTGATTTAGAATTTCAAACAGGTAACCACAAATGTCGTTTTTTTTTGCTTCTATGAGGTATGGGCCCAAGTTTTTGACAAAGCTGTACTTAAACCTATATGACATTCCGAAGTTGTTAAATATTTAGTTCAATAACACACATAGAATTTTTCACAATGAGAGTAGTGATAATAATAATAATTTTTTTTTAAATTACAAACTGATAGTATAGATATGAAAATTTTGTAAAAATACATTGTTATAGAAGAATAACATTTAAGAGGGAAGGTTATGATCCCTTAATCCTTCTACATACTGTGCACACCTGCATTGCCTCTTCATCCCACTATCACTCAATAAACAACTTCCCTGTGTAGCAGGTTTTGACATAAGCAGAGTTCTGAATTAATTTAATCAAACTTTCCAATAGTTAATGGTTAAAATTAATTGATTTTATAAAATACATTTTTTTTCTGCCATAATCAATATCAAGTACCTAATTATTTAATAAGATTTTTTTTTAAACTTTGACGTATCGTCTAGATGTCAGATATTTTGTATAATTTTTATGTATAATATGTAATACTGAACAAAAAATGACACGACAAATAATAATAAACTATTTAAAAACAAAAATTTATTTTTTAATTTTTGGTATTTTTATTTGACAAATGTAATATTTTGCTTCTTCAAATTGCGTTATCTATGTACACAAATATTTTGTAATTTTAACACAAAGAAAAGAAAATGTTATATATTTGTCATAACTTTTAGCAAATTAAAAAGAAAAAAAAAAATACATCTGTAGAAAATTATTATAATATATATTATTCTAAATACCCAACTAGAATAGTAGAATACTAACAACATCATCATTATCTATATTAGTTCACTTTAATCATATACAACTAGTTAAATTATTTTGATTCTAGCCAGTTCTGTTTAAATTTTATTTAGCAAAACCAATTATTTTATTAAGTCAATCATGTCCATTCATATTATATATTATGGTAACACAAGGAAAAAAAAGTATCTCAAACAACAACAAATTGACTAAAAAAATTTGTCACAAAAATTGAATATCCAAAATTCCAAAAACTAAGAAATATAATGGACTTACATGTCGGCTAACAATTGTCTGTCATGTCAAGTACACTATCAAAAATCTAAATAAGCACTGCGGCCATATTATAGGTACATGTTGAATAATAGCGCTGCTGTGTAAAGCGGCTTTAAAAGCGTTATTTCTGAACAAATAATTGTGTTTTGAAAAAATGTTAATTTTAAAAAAGAAAAAGAAATGTAGGCCGAAGTACTTACTATAAAATTATTTTGTTTGGATTTTTTAATTTAACAAGAATGAATGCCCAAGATTAGTAATAAATGCAAGTTTAGAAATATAGTATTTAATTTAAATTATGTATACATAATATGATGATTTCTTTCTTGACGTGTTCGTGTGGTTTTTTTGTCTCATATAAGTCCCTCAACAACCCTCCTCCCCAATACATGTCTTAATCGGTTATAGTACAAAATGTATAGGAATCAATTGCACGAGAAGAAGCGCCTAATAACGGTCAATCTTTGACGTTTTGCTGCACCAAGTGCACGCCAAAGTTGTTTTTACCGTTCAATTGATGATTCGTCCCGCTGCGTTTGCCTCGGGTCATGTTGCCGAAACACACGGACGAACTGGTGCTGACGCCAGAGTCTGAAGACTTTTCACTGGAAGTACAAGAGTTTGGTTTGGCGGCGGCGGAAGTGGTGGTGGTGTCACTAGATTTCGGTGCCTTCTTACCGTACTCAGGCGACGACAGAGCCGCATCGTTACCGTTGCTAGCCGAGAAACGCGGTTTTGGCGTAGGCTTCGACTTGGCAACGTCGGATCCGGGGATGATTGCTCGTTGACTGTGGGCAGTTTCCTGAGAGTCATCGCAGCCTGGATCCGTTTTGTTCTCCTCGGTGCTGCTAGAATCGTCTTCGGGTGCTGTTGACCAAACAAAAACAGTAATAATACTAATACTACTACTAATAATAATTAGAATAACAATATCAATGCTAACAGTATACAACAACGTTGATGATAAACGTAAACTAAATCTATATAGGTACTCACACTGATAGTCATGCATGACTTGGACAGCTGCCAATATTTTCGCTCTTTGTTCCGGGGCCATTATACCCATATAGTCTAAGTCTGTTTCACGTATTTCACAGAACGACTGCAAGTCTCCAAAACCATTCATTGCGAACACGGACATTTGTTCCTGCGAGGGCCAAATAACATGCATAAAATATATTATAAAGGTATAATTTAATGTCAATGTGTATATAAATTATAAATACATAGATTGATAGAAATAAAATAAAAATCACTGTACTCACCTCCATGCCGATAGTCCGCAGGAGCTGAAGTAACGACTTGGGCCTATGTTTCACGTTCTGTTTGCTTTTCTCGAGCCCGTTGCTTTCATTCACTAATGGTTGAACTTTTTCGAATTTGAACGTGCCTATCTTATCACAGCCTTTAACCATCCCCTTCCAGATGCCGCTGGCGTTCATGGTAGTAACCAGTATTACGTCACCTCTCTAAACGAAAAATACAATAAAACCATGTCAGTCGTAATAAAAGGTGCGAAGTTTTCATAGGTCATTCGTACGTTGAATTTCAAAGCGTCTTTGTCATAAGGGTTTGGGCTGCTGTTGGCTACGGCTCGCGCCAATGCCAACACTTGTACTTTCTGCGTTCCATCGCAAGAAGTCGGGGATTCCTCAGAGCTTTGAGACGCTGCTCCCATCAATGCTTGGGCACCTAAAAAAAATATCCATATACATTATATGTGCCCTGCAGTTTTGGACAAGTAAGTTCACCTTAACATGTAACTGAGGCGAGTAGTCGGTAAAAATAAGAAATGGGCGAGGGAGGGGTAAAATATAATGTTAATTTTATTTATAGTGATGACATTTTGGTACTTTTTTCGTTAATTTAAGGAGTGTTCTTTATCGATATACAGATTTATTTATTTTTTATAATTTTTTTTAATGATATATTATCCAGCACATGCTATAAGTTCAAATTTTGACTAAGACGCGCGTAAATATTTTTAAAACAAAGTAAAATAAAAAAGCGGTTTTTATTAAAAAAATAGAAAAGAATTTTGTATCTTTAAATGTCACTTTTTAAATGGTGTAAAAATCAGTTATTCCAAAAATCATCTAAAAAAAATTCAAAATTTAAGTATAAAATAAGGAGGGTGAGCAATGCGAATTTTTAGTTATTCATATTGTTTATAATATACATTTGTGTAAGTGTGATAATACAACTTACTAGAAGTACTCGGTAGGCTCTCTGCAGAACTATGATGACGATTAGGTCTCTGGTTTTGTTTCAGTTGTTTCGAGGATGTTTTGGATCTATGGTGGTGTTGTCTTTTACTATGACGCTGAAAAAAACAAAACGTGTTTTTATTACTTAACATAGAAAATTGACGGTAGACAGCGATAAAACTTACAGGTGTTTGTAAAAACGAATCCTCTTGATCGGCATAGTCCGAACTGTGTCCAGGCGACACCGCGGTGTCCATTCCCTTTAAAAAAATGAAAATAATGGACGTTAAACTAACGCCGATAGAAATTTGTATGTAATCAACAAGCACTTACGTTCATTCTGAGCCTGTGGTAAAGTTCCTGATCATAGTCTGAACGATTTGTTTCCACGGATAGCGACGACATCCTAGAACTATATAAGAACGGAAACGTTTAAATATTAGTAAAGTCATTTATTTTTTCATGAATAATTTTTATTTCCGTTAACAATGAAACAAAACGTTTAAAAATAGGTTATGAAATTCGGTCATTTTTATCTAACAAAAAAAATATGTTTAAAAAGTCCCTCAAATTAACCAAATAATATAATTTTACTTATCCACGGAAAATCAATATATATATAAATGAGATTTACTCAACAGTGCACTAAAATTATAACATTTGCCACTAAATTGAGATTTTATTATATAATAGATACATTAGATGACTGTTAAAAAAACCGTATTATTAATATAATATATTATAGTTTTATTGTTTCAAAAGAGATTCTTATGGTGACACAGAACCCTAAAGATATACTGTAAATTTTGTAATTAAATTTAATTTCTGTCAAATATTTTCTACGATAATTATGACGCACATTACGTTAGAATGAACTAAAATGTCAGTCTACTTTTCCGTGCACTGTCAGTTTGACTTTTCTGTACTTACGAAATGTTAAAAAGGTCATAATATATTATAATATATTATTATGTATAAATATAACTGTGGAGAAAATGTTACGCAATTTTAAGTTTAAACTTATTGCTGGTATACGCTAAATGGTGTGGTTTTTTGACAGCACGTTAAATTATATTTTGGATTTGTGGAACGAAGATTAAGCTTAAGTAGTTTGACAACTTGAACTTTACAAAATTAATAATTAAATAATACTAAAATAAACTATGAAATATCGATGATCTTAATGATGCATCAAATTTATAAATAGTGAATCAAACTTATTTACGTTTATAAGATTATAAAATATAAATACAATGTTACAATTATTTATTTAAAGCTTATCGGAATGAAAATAATATTGTACTTAGATGTATAAAATGTAAATTTTATAACATTAAAAAACAATACTAATCTCTTCCATAAATTTAATACGAGTACAAAACAATACAATTCATTAATACATTAAACAACAATATATTTATGTTTAATATACTCACAAACATTTTTTCACGTTTAATATATTGTAATAATTAAAATGCTATTCTAAATATATAAATAATATTTTAATATGCTACTCTACGCGCATATACTTTAATATCTGTCTCTCTTTCCACCAGAAAATACTTCGTATCTCAGCCTATGGAAATGCCTGTTGTTTCGTCGCTGATTGTTAGATAAAATGTCCGACCAAATGAATTATTTCAGAATTAAAACGAGTTTCTTTTATAATTTAAGTTCGCATTCTAAATAAATATAAATTGTTAATTAAATATAATGATTTTTAAGAAAAATATATTATCAAGACTCCTGTATTTAATTTAAAAATAAAAATATTTAAAGCCATAATTTTAATTTTAATGTTCATTGTATTCTTAAACTTTTATATAGAATAATTTATCAAGCAGCTATGTTTTTAATGAATTACATAACGATGAGATTATAGAAATACATGTTTAACCATAAACAAAAATAATTATAGTAAAATATTAACTATATTTTAGTAAATAATATAATAGCTTATATACTATTTTAAATAATTATTATAGGTAAAAAATATCATATATTATGGACAAATAATGTTAAAATTTACCTATGTTTTGGTTGAAAATTAAAGAAGATTGTATTTTATATTTAACCGTTAACCACCAAAACAATTTATTTTTAAATTGGAGTCTGGCACAAATTTTCGTTCTTTGAACTGTCGTAAGTTATTAGAACTTTCATTATTCTTATTTAAAATACGACCAATATTTGTTGGCATACCATTATTCACAATTTTTTTTCACTGAAAGTAATTATTTTTATAATGGAATAAAAGTGTCTTTATCTTCAATCGTTAAAGTTCGTATTAAAAGTTTTTAAAATGAATGCAGTATTATAGATATACAGTATTTTATGAGTCAAGTTTATAATTCATCTTAAATTATTATAATAATTTTAAGATGAACAATGAAATAAAATACTTTTTATAATAAAAATAAAAGTGGTTATCGGTTTGTTAAAAGTATTATCTCGCATTTCACTTTTAAATGAAATACAAAATTTAATATTTTTTACGTAGTTTAATTTTAAAATAAATTTTGTGTTTTAAACATTTTACTAAATTTAAAAGTCTGCACAAGTAGAATAATTAATTTGAATTAATCTACATTTTTCATCATAAAAACTCATCACATTTTGCAAATAGCTAATTTATTGGAAATAAGACATAGTACATTGTATTTTAAACTTGACATTTAATATAATACAGATTTTATTACCATTTAAAGATTATTCAATATATTAATGTACTAATTGTATCCGAATATTAAAAAAAAAGTTGTAACAAAAATTGTGATTTATAAAAACTATTATCCATTAGGTATAAAATATAAAAATAAGCATGGTTATCAGAATTGATTTTTAAAAATGTTGATTCATCATAATTTATTCATATAAAATTCGAAATGACATCACACCCATTAAAACACCTATATATACATTCATAAAACAATGTCTACCCTAAATAACGGGCCTGCACCTGAAACGTGTTAAGTTTATTTTTTGCTTTCATGATTTAAAATGTTAACAAATAAGTGCTAAAAACACCATAGTCCATAAAAACACATTTTATCTAAAGACCGGTGACGTTGGAAAATCTCCGGGGACGGAAAGGGGCTATAATTCTGTTTGAAAAATTACACAGAAAGACTAAATATAGATGACACATTATTCCGACGTATAGAGTTGATGAATATAATTAGAAGTTAGAAAACGGGGTGATTTCTATGTTGAAACGATATACACATATACAAGGCGATTTTTAATTGAACAAACACTATTATTACTTTAAAACCTATTAATGTATTTAAAAATATTTTTGCTGTATAATTTAAAGGAAAAAAAAATATTTTTTATTATTTTTGATTGTTATATTTTTTTTTTGAATAGTAACAAACATATTTATATTAATATTTTGAAGCAGAATATTTTTTTTTATATTTCGGTACATAAAATAGAAATTCAGACGAGTAATTAATGAGTTATAAGTATTTAAAGTTTAGGTTAGAAGGTACGAGGTTCCCCGCAAAATGTTGCTCTACTACTTCGCTTACCTAAATTTTAAATACTTATAAGTTATAAGTTATAAACTATTGGTCCAAATTTCGATGTTTATACATCAAAATTCTCAAAAAATTACCCATTTTCATAATAAGAAATAAAAAATGTATGTTGCCATTCAAACAAGTAAAGAACTTAAAAAAAAAAATTATAACGATAAAAAAATATTGTTTTATTTCGACTAAAATGTAGACATTTTTTTTTTCCAAAACGTTAAAAGTTTTTAAAATAATGGATTTTATTCGATAAAAGAATCATCCACTATACACATATAGGTTTGATATGAAATTAGATTGTAGTCTCGTTGTGCGGTAGGAAAAAATGGGTTTCCTTAATGTTCGGAATTGTCGACATATTGCCGCACACAAGCTGCTGTATTAAGACTAATTATTGTTGATACTTTCTCTAACGCACGTTAATAATATAACATACTCTACAATATCATTTTGGATGCAGCTGTAACTTTTCAAGAGTTTAAGCTATTGATTTAAATTAGAAGACAATATATAAAGTATGTAGTTAAATAATCGAAAGATGAATTGATGACATAGCACCTAGAATAACTGCTGCAGGAAAAGTGCCTATCAATAAATTCGTAAAATTATATTATTTTTGTCGATTATATAAGAATCTATCATTTTAGGAATTCTTTAAAAAGCTTATTTTACCGAAAAGTATTAAGGGTTTTTTGGAAGTATTTTTTTATATGATTTATAACCATCACCAAGCAACATATTTTAACAAAAAAAATTTAAATAATGAACAAATAGATAATTAATTATAAGCTATAATTTGTAAGTAATATAAGCACAGACAAGCGGAGTGGAGTAGTATAGGGATATCCAGTAAAATGTTAGTCCACTATAATCTGCTTATCTAAATATTAACTTCCTACAGAAAAGTCATTAAAGTAGTTTGCCTTAGAATAATAAAAATTAAAAATGCACGTTGTCATCATTGAAAAAAAATAAAAACGATTAAAATCGAAAACAGAATGTTGATTTGTATACTTACATTAAGTAAAAATAAATATTATCACATTAAGTAATTCTACTTTATGAGATATTGTACGTGTTATTAATTTTAAACGCATAATCACTCTGTAGTCTGTACAATAAGAAGATAATTTTATACGTATTTTTTTTTTTTAATTATGAAATGCTTCACGTCATTGTCATAAATACATATTTTATACAATATACGTCTACAAAAATATTAGTCATTTTAAAAAAGTTTAAAAACTACGAGGGTTCGGGCGTGTAATAAATAATAGTTCATGCAGTAATGTATTGTAATATATAGGTATATATGTATAATCTTATTGTACAATATTACATATTTATATAATATTACCAAACGCTTTGGACATCAGAAGTAGCGTAGTCACCACTCTCTCTGTTCTGTCGTCTCAGCGGTATTATGGTGGTAGGTTGACCAGAACCGGAAGCGGGCAACAAGAGCCCCGTAGCCGTCTGCCGGTGATGGCCACTGCCGCCGCGGTGGTGATGGCCGCCAGATAACGATATGTCACCAGCACTGCGCAACGATATAACGGAACCGGAATTATTGTTCCGAGGCACTCTGTGTTTAGCGTAACCGTAATAAACTCTGAAAACGGAGACGTTGGTAAGTCTTTACAATACTCAAAACTAGCCATTACACGGTAATGTATATATCATTAAACACCGGGGCCGTGAGAGATAGCAAAGAATAAAAGTAAACCTAGGAGAAGTAAAGTGAAGGTCACTCAAACTTTTCTGGCTTAGCCCACGCTTTGATAGTTTTTGTAAATGTTTCCCGAAGATAAGATATCAACGTTTTTTTGCGTAACGGAATATATTACATGATATATACTTTATACTTAACGACTAAATTTAGAAATGTAAATCGCAGAATTATACTCTTCATGGACAAGATGTATTACATATTATTCTTGGATGTATTTCTATCTGTTACGCACTGCTTTTTTATTCTATTGAGAAATTTAAATTCTGATAAAAGGTTTCTAAATTATTTTATGAATTATGATATCGTATTATGTATATCTATAGAATATTTCTTATACGATATAGAATACAAAAATTTAAGTAGATGCAGTTATCTACATATAAATAATAAAATTAATGTATATAATATAGAGTTAAGTTGAGTAGATTTTTTTTTTCAAATTCTGGTCTTAAATAAATTTAAAAAACACAATACTCAATATTTTAATCAATGCGTAATTACTAATTTGAGCATATCAAGAGCAGCTGATCGTTCGCTTAATAATCACACTATATATACACCAATAGAACCTATCTTTATGTTTTTTCTCTAAAAACCTCTGCGGACTTCTTAGAGTCTTATAGCGATTTTTCCTGTTTTATATTACCTATTGTTGGCGTGCTCCATGAGTAGCTCCTCGGGATCCGATTCGTATGGAGGTTCGTCGTACCAGTGTCTGAGCATGTCGTCGTCGTACATGTAGGTCTCGTCCGAATTGTTGCAACGGGTTGCGGGCTTGCAGGGTCCGCCACCAACTCCGCCGCCACCATACCGCAACAGTCCGTGACGAATCTCCCGGAGGATGTCCTCATGTTCGCGGTCGAAACGTTCCTTCTTAATCATGGCCTCTTGGACTTTCAACTGTGACAATATACGCATCAACGCTTCGATTAGACATAATTACACAGAATATATTTATAATCATAATATATACTGCAAAAAATTCACTGCACACCAGCCTGTCGACGTACCGTCTTCTAGTGATATTTATGCGCAGCTATGGCAATTTTCACGCACGTATATCGTTATTATATTATATTGTAATATATTATACCTACATGATATTTGTACACCTATATACATGATACTTAAACCGCGCATGGGAAAGAATATTATTATTTTCGGTTCGCCGTATAACTTGTTCCCCGCCTTATAAGCGCGCATAACAAGATTAATGTTACTCCAGACGGCAGTAACGGCCGCCGCCGCACATGACCTTTAATGGGTCCCTGTGGGTCGTGAAACGCGAGCGCATTAACACACCACCGTCGCAGAGTATATGGGTTTCTGCACGAAAATAACACGCGTATACCCATCACGATTGTGCGTACGCGTTATTTTGGGCGGGTGTGTGTGTGTGCATGCGCGCGAGAAAAAAAAAGGTATAACCACAAAGGCGTCGGCAGTCGAAAAAAGGGGCAACCGTATTATATGTATAGGTTTCTCTGTCTTTCTCGCTCTTTCACTCTCTTTCGCGTATACATTCAGAGCGGCAGCGGCGTTGAAAAGTTTTTAATGACTCGACTCGGCTTCCTCTATTCACACGCGCACCACCTAATCTGACTTTAATGTTGTTTATTAGCGTAGGTATAATACGTGTATATATACATGCCTCCGCCACTGCGGTTTCGTTCTATTTACGCATTGAATATATCTTCAACTAAAACGCAGATAATATAATAATATGTGTAGACAAACTCGCGAGTACCCCCAAATATAATATATTATAAACGTGGCTGCAGCTGGTATCGGACGAGGAGAAAGTGGAGGGGTAAAACGGAGTGAGATCGATTCGCAAAACAAAAAAAAATAAAATTATAAAAATAAAACGGCACCTCTATTCGTATAGGTGCGCGCACACAGTTGCTGCATTGAATGAGGGAAACTATTTCGATAAAAATAAAAATAAAAAACCGAGAAAATTCGAAAACTGGAGCTTTGTTGTCCGTTGTTTATTGTAGAATAGGGTTGATTTTTTTTTTTATCATTTCATTCGTCCGACACGCCCTCTGCAGTGATCGGATCGCAGCGGCGATTGGAAATCGTATGTGTTTTATTTCTCCCAAAAGTCTCTGGTGTGCCAAACTGTACACTATATATATTAGTGAACGATAATGTTCTCGTAGATTCGGTTAAAATATGTTCACAAGGCAGGAAATAATGTTTAGGCAAAGATACGTCTACTATGTGACCAACCGGTGACTTTCGTTTTTGTTTGTCAATTCCGAGAAAAAAAAATCGGAAAATGTACAACGTACGATAAATTATTATTTCGTATCAGTGCAAAAACGATATAAATTTATTTTATTCATAACTCTAAAATTGTAGAAAATAAGAAACTATACTTAATTCACGTTTAGAAGGGACCTAGGTGACAACCAGTTTTCGTTGGCGGCGGATAGACCGATCTTCACTGTATCTACCACCTGTTTTATATTCCGAGTGTATATCATAGGCGTATAAGTCGGCAGCCTGGGTCGCCTCTAAACATGAATAGAGTATATATATAGCGTACAAAAATTTCTGCAGGGGTGTAAAACTATTCATACAGCTTTTTTTATACAAGTTTAACAAGAAATAAATCTTCGCAGTGGTGATATTTAAATGGTTAACATTTTTTTTTTAACGAATTCACACATTTTCAAACTTATGACATAAAAATATGTTTAAATTTAAGACGTAGAAATAAAAAAATAATGCAAATAAGCAGTAAAAATGTTTGACGTATTCGACCCGAAACCGCGTCAGTGGGAAAGCTTCAAATTACAATAAAGGATCATTTATTTTTGCTTTTTTCTCACTCACCCGATGGATAGTTTCTTCAAAACCGGATGGATTGCCGACATGGTTTCTGCCGGACATTGGTACACAACGATTTCTGTTATCTATCATTGTCATTCCCAAACAATCGGGAGTGTTGGCCTGAAATATGATTAATTTATGGTTAAGTTGGCATATTTATTTTGTTAAATTTTTTTTACATGACAATATAAAAAGTATATGCAAATATTGTAAATATAATCAATAGGTATAATTTAATGCTGTTGCATATATTAAAATAAGACAGGTGATATGATGTGAAGTATTTGATAGTAATAGAATATTATCAAAGATGACAAAAGTAGTTAAAACAATTCGTTGCCAATATATATAGTAGAAATAGTAAATTTATACAAGTTAAAACTGCTATTTAACGAATATTGCTTAATGATATTTATTATTCGTACTACAACTACGTAGTTTTTTTATAAATAAATATTAAACATATAATATTTTTAAGTTATTTTGCAGTGGCCATTATCATCGCGTGACAAGTTTTATAATAATTTGATTAGTGAAAATTAATATTTTTTAACAATTTTTAAAATCAAAATCTAATAATACATTTTAACGAGGTAATTTAATTTAAAGTTAATTCGTTGATTCGTCATAATATAGGATGTCATATTTTTAAATCTTATTCGATTATAATATAAAATTATTTTAAATTACCTAACGAAAATTTATATTTCTAAGACTTAAATGATAACATATAATTTATAAAATGTTCATATATATCTACTTTACAATAATTATGTAGTATTTAATTAAGCATCTAATTAACGCAACTAACTAATTTGTAAAATGTTTAATATAGATAATTATTAATATTTATTTAATTGGTTATGTTGCACTGTGCAATACCATACTATAATATATGATTAATTATTAGGAAAAATTAATTTTAGAAAATTAAATTGTAATTTAATTTTATAAATGATTTATGGTAACAAATCATCATTAAGGACGGAGAAAATGCAAATATACTTTAGTTTAAATAAAAATCAATTAAAACGTGTTCATAAATAATACGTTAACAGTACTTAAGCTAATATTTAACTTTGTACAATAGTTAAGTTTTTTGGATTCAAAATGGCACCATGCCAAAATGGGTTTAGGAATCGTTTGGGTTCAGTACGATAAGAGCAGTATTATATATATATATATATGTGTGTGCATAACAAATCAGTTAATGAGATTTTGTAGTATTAGTGCAACACTATTGTACGACAAACTTTTTAATGTTAAACACATTTTGGATAAAAAATTGACTTACTACTAAAAATAAATCATATAATGATTTGTTTACGGTTATATTATAAATAATATAAACAATTAAACAATTAATAATAAAACAACAAATTTTGTGAATACAATAATAAACAATGCAAGGTTCTAACAGTAATTATATTAAATTCAAAGCATTTAGCAATCCCTACAATGGATTGCTAAATTGGTTTTTAAATAATGTAAAATGAACATTGTTTGGTTAAATTTTCGTTTAAGTTGCGAAAATATCATGAATAACGATTAATTAAAGTAGTTTTTAACAAAGTATTATAATTTATTTTTGAAAAAAAAAACATTTAATTTTTAAACGTTATGATTTATTATTATACTTTACGAATTAATAAATTTATCTCTGCAGTGGTGTAACTAGTATCAATATTGTGTAATATATATATAATGTATTAGATAAATATATTTATTAATTTATTTATTTTGTCTTGAAAAGATTAAAAAAAAAAAATGCTCATTTTGAATTAGAGAAATCAATAATCGATGTAGGTTTCTAAAATTGTTTTGAAATCTAGAATTGAACCAAATACGGATTGTTTAAAATATAACTTAAAATGGTCACATATGATATTCAAAACACGTTGAATTATACACAAATAAAAAGTGTTTACAAAACCAACCAGAATACTAATAACAAAAATAGTTATTTCAATTGCGGTCTAAAAAAGGATTTTATAAATTTAAAAAAAAGTTTACGTGTATTTATTTTCATTTTAATGTATATAAAATCGATGAACATCGGTAATATATGGATTATCGTGCTGTTATGGTAATTAAAAACTAAATGGTTTACTAAAATTAACTTTTAAAAACCACTTGATAATTTAAACAACATAATATTATGATATATAAAATGGTGAGAACAATTTGTTTAGACGAGTATGATTAAAAAATAATAACTAATATTATATGTTTGTTTCAATATAGTAATTGCAGCTGTTAACGATTGAACTTTTAAGTTTTAAAATTTTAAGACTGATCGAAAATAAAAAAACCTATAATATTATATGTATTTGATAAAAATTGTATCATATCAGAGTTGTTTTAAAATATATGTAAAGATGTTTTCTATTTTAAAGTTATTGTTGCAATGCTGCTCGTATATTAAACAAAGAAGTAAGATTTAGAATAATGTTAGAAAAACAACTACGATTTGAGTAAAAATAAACGTAAACTACTCTTACGACAGGGGTGCATCTAAGATGCCTATCTAAAACGCCGTGTACTAAATATTTGGTTAAATATCTATATTATAATATAATAATATTATACTAGAGATTTATTAAAAATAAGGTTAAATATACAATTAAACTAATAATGTTTAGTTTAATTTTTTTAGGTCTTAGATATAGTTTACATATTTATTAGGATATATATATATATATACATATTTTTTGAAATATTGAGTTAAATTATGTTTACAGTAGTTCTTGACATTCCATTAATTGAATAGCATCGAATTTTAAATTGACAACAAAATTTGATTTGCAAATAAATCGAGTTTAAAAAAAAACTAAAAGCCACACACAATATGTTCAAATAGGTACTTGTTAATATAACGCAGTCGTAAAGTGCCCCGAGAAGAAATAATTATTTAGTTGTCAGTGAACAATTAGCAAAACATTTACGTATTATATAGAGGTGGTGATAGTTGCCTCTAAAAACATTTTTATAAGCATATAATAATTTGTTTTTAAAATTATTTGTACGAACTTTAAAATTATGTATATAAATGCTTAAACATAAAAAAATAAAATACATAATGAATAGGTATAAATGAAAAATAGAGTTAACGGAAAATTTTTTAACATTATAAATGAAAAAAAAAGACTTAGCGTAAAATATGTAAACAAATAATGTAAACCTATTTATAATTTTTACAATTAATATTTAAATAATTATTTATCATCATTTATTGATTTTATTTTAAAACAGAATCGTAAATCATACTCATAGAAACATAGAAACACAAAAATAGAAAAATAAAATGAAAAATGTGAAATATAAAACGGAATAGTTCGTAATTGCTTCTTAGTGTTGCTGAAGAAATTTATAATTTACTTAGATGTTTCATACATTTTAGATAATATACAAAACGTATCAAAATACAAACACAAGCGTGTACAATTTACACTGTAAATCATACAATAAGTCCCAAACTCTGTATATATATGCGCGTATATAGTAAAGAAGGTATATCATCGACTGTTGTAATAAACATACGTATATATGGTTGCCAACGGGGGAAAACTATAAAACAAATAATATGGCCTGTCCACAGGTTGCCTTGGGGTTCTACTACATTTATAATATATATTATATGTATGAGTATACACCCATGTATAATAATGCGTTTGTGCACTAGCAAAAAACGGTAAGAGCTGGTCGGAATTCGATCGAGGGATGGGAAATTTGGGGGATCGTGCCAAACGTTCACTAACTTCAACCTCTTCGCCATCGGCACTAATACTTACACACACATTTTATGTATAGTGATTTTGTGCGAGTGGAAAAAGACGGAATGTGATCTAAAATAGGGGTTTGTATGAGTATGTATGTTTGAGCGAGTGCACAAGTGCGGGTGTAAGGCCAATGTACGACACGAGGAGATTTAGAGAATTTTGGCGATTTCTCGCCAAAATTGTACGGGAAACGATTTGACAACGAGTGGCAGTATAGATAAATAATAAAATACCAAACAAGTTACCTCAAACCTAATCCGAAAACGTAAATTAGACGATTTAGAAAAACAAGACTTCAATATTTTAAAGGTATAAGATGATTTTTTTGGTCAATATTATATAATGTTTTTATTTTATACCTATAGATTTTTTATCATTTTTAATATAATATTTTTTATTTAAACGTAATACTTTATTTTTGAAAAAAAATCTTAAAATTATAGTTTATAATTTTTTTATTAGGTCTTATTTTTTGTTTTGAATGAAAACTTTATTGAATATTTTTTCTTTAAAATAATACAAAATTAAAAAAAAAAATTATCTTGAACATGCCCGTAAGAAATGAATTTATACAATATAAATGCGAAGCGTATACATTAATATAAAGTGTCGAGTATTCGAGAATCGTATTTTCGTAACACTGTGGCCACGCCACGGCGCCTGCTGCTACGTGGACGAAAAAAAGAATGGAGTTTTTTGTATATTAAAAAGTATTTTCGATTAAAATACGTATAAAGAAAAAACTTAAATGTTTATATTCATGAGTTTTTACATTATAATCCGTATGTATTGTAAAGTTTTTGGGAGAATAGAATAGAGAAAAATTGATTGCTACTGGCATGGTGATGAATGGTGGATTGAGTGGTGAAGTAGTGTCATGTCGGTCTCTGAGGTCATTACATACAGTAATCTACTAGTGGTCGGAATGTATACGTTCTCTGATGTGAAGTTCCGGTATATATAAACAACTGAAAACGACGTCGACAACAATTCGGACGAGAACAAAATATAACGACACATTATATAATATTATATGGACGATTAGGCGTTTTCGAGGAAGTGTACACGCTAAGCCATTGTCTCACACACACTGCACGATCAGCATTAACCGAGACAGAGCATCTATTCAGGTCATCGTATAAAACCAACTCATTTTGTATTTATACAGAATGATATAATTTTTTTGAAATGTATTAGCCAAACTGTATAATTTTTTAAAGATAATTTTTAAGGTTTTTATTTTGAAAGGAGGAGAGTTAAAAATCATTAAGAAAATATCATGAAAACATTTTTAAAATTATTTAAAATGACACTGCATACTTATATGCGAACGATATTTCTTTCAAAAAACATATAATTTAACAGAGAAAATAAATGCGTTAGTTTCACGTTAAAATATCATCCAGTATATACGCTGCAGTGCGTTTATGTTATTTTAGATATTACATATTTTTTTTTCATATTAAATCTGTTCGGGTGTAAAATGTCATCATGCAGATACGAAAACGAGAACTTGGTGTCAGATCACTGGTTACAAACCGTGAGTTGTGACCTCAAAGAATCAAATTTGGGCAACGATTTGTATACAAAGAATATATTATATATATATATCTACTAATACCTTATAATTTAAAAATATATTATATACCTATATAATATTATACGCATATAAGCATTGAATGAATGAAAGCTAATGCCCCAATATGTATTTATGTTTAGTATGTGTGTGTACTCACACTAGATATCCTAAAAAATCTATATATTTATATAATACTGACAATAAGCACGTGCGTCGTAGGCGAAAAAAAATATAAATATACACAAACATATAGTATAAATATATAATATATATATATACATGCATGTACTTTGGCGAATTTGATTGTACAGCATCTGTGACGACGTCAAGGTGTGTATGGTGAAAATCTCGAGGGATTTATTTATTTATTTATTTTTATTTTTAAATCCAATTCTCCTCCCTCATCTCTTTTGCTTTGACTAAATCCGGCGCTGGCCCCTATATTGATTGGCATGCAAATACGTAGAAATACGCGAATCGGTATTCCACTAACACATCGTCGTCGTCATCGCCAGAGTACAAACACGACCCATCCATCACAGGTATAAATATAATAATATTATTACGTGTTATCATAAAACAGCATAAAACGATTAAATATTTATCAGAAGCAATCCGGAATAAATAATCGCGTGACATTTAATATAATAAAATATTCTTATTAACATTATCTATACTGTTTCCTGAATAGCAATAGAGTAACTTTTTTTTTAATTTACGATTTAATCGAGTTATAAGTTATATAATAATTGTTTATATTTTACTTTTGCCGATTGGATTATCGCGTGATGTTAGCGTCAAGCAAAGTAAATTTTTTTTTTGTGAAATAGTGAACAACGAGACAAGAATAAAGTAACCAATTATTATTTATGCGAAATACAAGTAAAACACAGAAATTACATCGGGCTCGTAAATATAGAGATATTAAGTAGATTATACACACATGGTTATTCAGCATAAATAAATAAAAATTAATCACTAGTAAAAAAACTATAGTTAAAATTTTAGGACGTAACAAATATACTATTTTATGCATTCAATTTTTAATCGACTTATTTATTAAAATAATCAACAACATTTAACTAATTTTTAGAATTAAATTTTTTATGTACCAATTAATTTATTTTTCAATGATTTTTGTAATATTTTAAATTCTAAATTTTATTATTAATAATTGTTATAACGATAGATTAAAAAAATGTAAAAATGAAACGAGAATTTAATCATATGTAATAGTCATACATATATTACAAATTGAATACATAGGTATCTATGAAAAACTGCAAAAACCGTATTTATGCATCACAGAAACAATCATAAATAAATATAAAAATCGAACATCGAACAATACACAACAATACACCTGTAAGCACGTTCCACTATGTAAATGAATAAAAAGGGGTTGATTTTCTAAGGAAATGTCGTCGTTGACTATTGCGTGATTGCCATCGTCTTGCTGATATTTCTATATGTACCTACCCTACACTCTATAGCCCTACCTATCCCCTAGTATATATACCGTCACCGAAATGTCGTATTTGAAATATAAAATGAAAACGTAACAGACATTTTCGGGTCAATAGCTACGATGGAAAAAAGAAAAAGATGGATCGATAAAATTAAAAAAAAAAAAAAAAAAAACGAGAGAGAAGAGAAAAAAATTACCGGAGCACAATATATAATAATATATATAATACCTACATATAAAAATGCATATATAAAAAGACACTTAGCCGAACGATTTTATAGTACCTTAAATTTTTTTTAGTTATATATCAGTCTCGGTATATACGGCGGTTACCATAGTTACTTGTGTGAGATTTGGTGAAGTGGGAAGGGGAAGGGGAAGGGGTCCCTCATAAGCGTTTCATTGGAATGTTTTTTCGAACGTATAGGAATTAATTATGCCATTTGATTTAGAGAAAAAAGGAGGTCAAACCGTTCTCTCTTGGCTTAAAACGTTAATTAACGTTTAATAAAAAAAACTACCACCTATATAATTCCGCCTGCAAACCACACTAAATATACGAACGAGTGGATCACCGCTACCATCTAGCGCAAAAAACCTTTAGAAACGGCTGCACGTTATTTTATATATACATGGACTCGTAATTTGTGTATGTGTTTGTGTGTGTATGTGCGTGCGTGTGTGTATGCTTGAGTACAGTATTTCCACCGACAGTAGTTAACACAAAGTGTACACCCGGACCATTACTCACGCGCGTATTGTAAACAGTAAAATAGTTCGTATCCTTACCCGGGATGAAACGTTTTGTTGACTTCGCGATTTATCTCTCCTGTGGGTCTTAAAGTTTCGTAGAAACCGCGTCAATGTGATTTTCTTTTTTCCGGGTCGGTCTACAAAACAAATTACACAACAAATCGCATATTATTAATAACAAGCAGTTTTTAAATTTTATTATTATGGTTAATATTTGAAGTATATCTCTCTTTAGTTAATATTTACATGCTACATTAAACTAAGACTTCACAAAGTTACAACTTTTGACAAGATATTATTTTGCTCTATTGAATGTTGCTATTATTTTAGGGATAGAGAATATGGGCACAAAGGAAATATAGGAATAAATCAACTTTGGTAAGGTGTGTACGGGTGGGTACACCAATTTGCCTGCAGAATAACACACCGACATGTTTGCCACAAATATGTCGAAACCTTTGAAAAACAAACCCCATTCTCGAGCATACACTATATTGCCCGTCTATCTCACTTCAATTCTCCCCCTCCCCTCTAAAGCGATTCAAATCCCCCACAACCCGGTTTCTTCCCCCGGGATTCCGTCTAATTTCCATTTAAATTTTATCCCGGGTTCACTGGATGAAATCCATTTCGGCCTTGGGAAAACCACGAAATTGCTGAGTTTTCCTGATCCAAAAAATAAAAGGGTGGAAGTGAGCAGAAAGACAGAGACAGAAGAAGAGTAAAAGAGAGAAAAGGCCTTCCCGTATCTCTCTCATTCTTTGGTTTTGCAGGGTCCCAACTTTCCTCCACCATCGTCATGTAAAGAAGATGGAAATTCTTATTTTAATATCGTCTCTGTTAAGTGTACCGAATAAACGAGCTTTGGAATGGAGTGGAAAGATCTTTTTAATTATTAATTAACTCACCGTTTAAAATAAAAAAATGAAAATAAGAAAAAGAATACAGAAAGTTATCTAGTTATAATAATACTATTATCACGAACAGTTAGACATAAGTTTAATATTATTCATTAATATGCAATCGTAAATGTGTATAACTTATTGAAATTGCTCTCCGTTAGACCATTAATGTTTTATAATGCAAATCATAAATATTGATTACGGATTAAGTAAAAAAAAAAATATGTTTATTTACCTGCAGGAGGAAATTCGTAGAAATATGCAGATCTTGGACTTAGGCACCTGAAACATACAATATGATGCATAATAAGTAATAATAAATATTTCATATGTATTTAAAAAATATGTTCAAGCATATTATACTTAAAAATTATCATCAAGAATATAAACACATTTTTTTAAATTATTTATTAATCTTAAAACTATATAGCCAATTTTCTCTGAATAATATTTTGGCATGTATTATACACTTCTATATCATTTAAAAACCTCGAGTAAATGTAAAATTTTATCTAAAAAAATTATATATAATTATAATTATAATTAAGTTATACAATTATCTTTTATTTCATGATTTATATTTTAATAATTAATTTTTAAATCTAACATGCGTAATTTAGTTTATTCAGGTTACGCAATTTTACGATTCATAAAACATACTATACTAAATATATGAATAATTACAAGGATTTATTATATAGATTCATAATACAATTCAAGAATAAATACAATGCTTATATATTCATTGTTAACTATTTCATATTATACTGAATGATACAATAATAAGTACGAATAATACACTGGTTATATTTTACACGTAATAATAATTTAATTTAAATGGTAGGAATAATAATAATAAAAAAAAAACAAACTAAAAATCACTCTTATATGTTTGCGAACATCAAATTTAACTTTGGGACTAAGCGAGTGTTTCGGGAGATATGGGATAAGATTCCTCGGGGATGGCAGCTAAGAACGATAATAAAAGTTGTAATGCCTTCGTTCAAAATAAATAATAATAATAATAATAAATATATAAAATATAAGAATGAAAATTATTTATGACGAGTAATAAATTATACTTGATCATTACACGGTCTTATTTATTATGTAATCGAAACTTTGTGTATAACGTAGCTAAGAAGCTATAGAAGCAACGAAGAATACCACAACAAAATGTTTGATGTTCACTGCGTAAAATAATATATATGATAATAATAAAACGAGATTTCCAAACTGTAAATAATTAAATAGATTAAAGACACGTAATATACATAATGCATTATATACGGCCATGATCAGACTACGTTATATATATATTATATACGTTATACACGCGAAGATGTTATAACAATACGACATGAACAAAATAATAAATGGCTGTTAACTGATTAAAAAGATAATATAACGGAGATAATATGACCTATTTAAGTACAGAGATAAACAAACATTTTCAAATTTAATTAAAATACGAACAAAATATTATATCTATCGTATATTGTGCCTATAAAGGTTAAATCATATTATGATTTACTGCTAATAATGCGAATAAAAAACTGGTGTTATAAATAAGTTATAACTCAAACATGTAAGCACATAACTAAATTAACAAGTCATAATATATATATATATATATATATATTATAGGACTAAGAAAAAAGTGTGATAATTGACGGTGTACCTACACCTATCGCAATGTAGCGTTCTATACTTATATAGATGCGCTATATAACATGGCTTGCACTTACATACTTTAAACTCACATTCTTAGTCCCATTTAACCTTAGTAGCAGCGGAAACAGCAGCAGTGATTTGGGCAATTTCTATTGTGAATTCCTGACAACACACACACATACTTTTAGCTGCATATTTTCGACGGCGCATACCGTCGCCGTTATGGTTTGCAGGAAAACCGCAAAACGCGTAGAGTTCGGCCGACACCCGAAGCGTAAGGTCGACATGTTGCACACGGCGCCGGCGAGATTTAACGCGGTAAAATATTTATATAATATTATATATAAACTCAATTTCATAAGATTATGTAGCTCCTTTGGCGAGGGAAAATACTTCAATCAATAAAAATGTTAGCAATTGCGCGTTGTAGCTGGTAATGCGCGCACAATAATATCGAATTCTGACGCGGACGATGAAATTTTGATAAAACTAGAAAGAACCGCTCTTAACCGCCCTCAACGCAACGAGATCGTATTACGTGGCGAGTGATATATAAATTATATAATACAGTATTATTAATAAGAGCGGATATAGCGGCACTTTTATAAAGACGGGGTTGATGCGTAGACGAATGGTCGTGTTTTTTTTTCATCGATGGGGGGAAGGATTGTAGTAGCAATTTTTTTATATTATGTTATTTCACCATTGGTCGTCGTATTTTCATTGGACGGGAGAAGTTATTTAATATTTTTCTTTGTAAGTATACATAATACAGAGAGATCACATAACACACAAAGAACCGAATGTCAACACTCTGGTATATAAATACTACTATTTTTATTTTTATTTCTACTTCTACTACTACTACTATTAATAATAATCATGATAAACGAACGTATACAATTACAAGCGCCGACGAGAATTGAATATATATCTGGCGGCAGTGCGGCGTATAGAGACGGTTGTGTATACATATATAATAATTATAATACAGTTGTACTATATCGGTAGTAGAATCATGCGCGGAAAACACTCTTCGTTTATTTTAATTTAAAGGTCCCTTTTGCCCGGCGGTAGTAAACCACCATGGATGACAACAAGATAGTTTGGGACGAATCCGATTGGCCAAACTCAGTTGGTAGCAGCGTAGCGTGGTTTATGTGGGGTGGTCTGGGCAGGGGTTGGAATATTAAAAAAGAAAAAAAGTCATTCAATTAAAATATACGAGCTAATTCTACGTCAATTCAATTTGGCAAGACAAATTAAAATTTATAAAAAGTGTTCACGCTATCGCGAATTACACGATCACGCTAAATCTAAACCAACGTACATATTATAATATAATATCCATAACACTAGCAATATATAGGTACATGTAACATACGAATATATTATTGTTTTAATGGTATAACCCACGAATCACGGTAAACTATTATTATTATTATTATTATTTTGTACAGATTTAATAGCCACACATTATCGCAAAACACATAATATAATATATAATATGTTTACGGTTTTAAGTAATGTAATATATAACGATGTATGTCGACAATTTGAACCAATATGCGAAATCAATATATTACATTAGGCAGGTACGTATATCCCCCCACGAGTTGTTCGGACGCCAAATTAAATTTTTTATACAATACATATATATTCAAATATATGTATTTATGGACGCGACACGCGTACAATAAGGATTCGATCAATCAATTCATTCTATAGTATTGTCAGAAAGGTTAATCGATATTTACGTACTAAGAATTATTAATATTTAATGCGTTTTATATATTTATATAAATAAATACGCACACCCATACATAAATATAATATAACTTTGTTTCCATCTTGTTCTTTATGTTTTAGTTTAGTTAAGTTTAGAATGTACGATTTATTAATATTTATTGTAGTCTACCTGACAAATTATACTTAATAAATAAAATCTGATTTATGGTAACTGCGCAAGAAATAATAATAAGAAAACAGAACAGAGTACATTCAACGAAGGTAATAATAATTTAGATAAATAAGAAATTTGGTTACACGAAGGTCTTTTTTCATTTTACATCTGATGGTAGCTTTTTTTTTACGACGAAATAAAAATAATATACAATAATCGTAATTATTGGATAGTTTTGATGAAAATAAAATATATAATAACGTTGTGTGAATAAATGCCCTATCTTGTTAAATATTGAGTAACAAAATGAATGTAAAAAAATAGAATTGTTTACAAATAATTATAGTTAAAATAAACAAGCAATCAAAACTAAAGGTATTCACTTGATGTCATTGACATTATTTAAAAATACTACGAATGGTAAACGAGTACAATATAATACAATGGGATGAGGATTCTGAGACATTTTCGATTACAATAATGAACAATGTAATATTCGTTTTATCGGATTCTTACAACTTTGACAGAATCATTCATAAAAAAAAACAAACGGAAAATGTCTCAATATTTTACTAGGCAATTACTATTAATGTTATCATTGAGTACATGACGATATTTATGTAAATATAATACTGACGCATGCAACCATAGTGTATTATACACGAATAAATATTATAATACAATGTATACAGGTCTCAGTATAAGTGGTGATGCATCAAAATTGCATACATAATACGCCGTCTTCGTGTGTTCTATAAACCGATAAATTTACAGAAGCCACTTATAAATTACTGTTATTGTTATTTTCTTAAAACACATTAATTTATTATTCTTTATGGATAAGCAATTTATTTAACTGTCGAATGAATAGAATAATTCTATATTTTTTTTTCATTTATACACAAAAATATTTTAAATGTAATAATTACGTTTAGCCGTTATACAGCTTAAAACTGTGCTAACAATTTTGTTTTGTTAAATTGTCAGTAATCCAAGGAGAAAAACAATAAGTAAACGAAGGATTGATTTAATCTTCTTAAGAATTACGTGTTAAAATACATAGCGAACGCTATAAATACTATTTGACGTCAGTATGCAAACAAATCTTTAACGCAAAAATCTCATAGCCGTTTTATTAAATCCGGGGAGATTTACATTGAAATCTAATAACTGCTATTAGCTAATTAAAACTATTAAAAGCGACATAAATTACTAAATAGATTGTCGAAAATATACACTTTGTAAACATCACAACACGGTTTTTATTATTTTACCTTGTATATTATACTTAATACCATAAACATTAAATTTATGTCAAGTATAATAAGCGATTTTACGCTTATGGTTTACATATATATTTCTTTGAATTTTAAAATAATATGTAGACTATTTTTATCAAATAAAAACTAAATTTTAGTTGTTTATTAAAGTTTGAAATAAGTTCATATTTTATAATTTAAAATACATAATAGTCAATGGAATTTTTTTAAGGAAAATTAAAAATAGGCGAGATTCTGAGAAATTAAATTAAATTTGTTCTGAAAAATAATAAATTTTAAAGATAACTAACTACACCAGCCAAGCAACCAAATAATTTTTAAATTTTTCTCATTTATTTTTAATTATACAAGTGAAAACAATAGATAGTTGATGAAGTATCAAACTGTTAATGGCGTCATCATTTTTAAACAATAATCTTAATTAA